CGCTTTATAAATCCTTAATAAGGCCACACATGGAGTACTGCACCCAGTTTTGGTCACCACAAAAAAGATGTTTAGATTCTGGGAAAAGTGCAGAGAAGAGCAACTAGGATGATTAAAGGCCAGGAGACTAAAACATATGAAGAACGGTTGCAGGATTTGGGAATGGCCAGACTAGAGAAAAGAAGGATTAGGAGTAACATGATACCAGTAGTAGTCTTCCAATATTTGAGGGCCTGCCATAAAGAGGAAGATGTCATCCTATTCTCCAAAGCACCAGAAGGCAGGACAAGAAACAATGGATGGAAACTAATTAAGCAGAGAAGCAATTTGGGATTAAGGAGAAACTTCCTAACAGAGAAAAATTAACTAGTGGAACAGCTTGCCACCAGAAGTTGTGGGCGCTTCATCATTGGAGGTGTTTAAGAAGAGACTGGACAGCCACTTGTCTGAAATGATATAGGGTCTTCTGCTTGAGCAGGAGGTTGGACTAGAAGACCTCCAAGGTTCCTTCCAGCTCTATTCTGATTGACTTGTGTTATTGTTCAGGGTTACCATTTATTATTATGACCAACATTTGCAACTACTGGTTGACTACACAATATTTCTGTTGCTAGTTTTTTTCCACTATGCCTGTGTCTCTCAACCTTACCACTCCGTATACTTCACCTGGAGCTAGTAACAGCTAGTAAGAAGATTTCCAGTCCTTCCTTATCTGCAAAGCTCAAAACTTACACCGTTGTGTAAGATGGCAAGTCACCAGCTCAGGGTGACTTGCTTGGATCTACCTTGTGAAGTTCTCAGGATGAAACAGGAGAAGAACATAGAATGTTTCACCTCCTCCTACATTCTTTGAAGGAAAGACCGGGTAACCCAAATAGCAAATAATACCGAAATGGCAACTTTATCATAACACAACAGCATGAGAGGGTAATTAATATGAAACGAGGTACAATAAAACCATGTCATAATTAAGCAACAGTAGAGAACAGAAGCTGTGAGGAGACTCCCAATGCTGTTTTTCACGGTCCCCACTGGGACCGCAGCCAATTTTAATTGAGAAGCAATAAGAAATTTGCTAGAAAAACCCATTTCCAGTTTCAGGTGTTTGTCTATAAATCCTCCTCAGTCCTCTTGCAACACCTTGTTCTCCAACACCTGGTGTTGAGAAGCACCATCTTGCTGGACATGGGCCATCCAAAACAAGGTGGGGCTTCTCCCCCATCAACTCTCCATTCTAACAAGAAAAGAGGCTGCTGGAATCCCTGGTGTGGCTGCTACTTCATTAATTAGCTCTCCTTTGCGAGACACGGAGCCAATTTTATAATCTAGAGAATGAAATCATGAAGATGATTCAAGGGAAAAGACAGAAGCAACCTGAAAAGCCAATTTCTCCAAAGCGAGTCCTGCCTTGTTTCTTTGCCCCATAACTAGAGGTTTACAACAACTAGAAAACCCCCTTTTTCCCCCTCTTACCTGTTCCCTCCCACCTGTAAATTATATTTAACATTCTTTATTGCAGACTGTATTTGGGCTGTATGAAAAAAAAACCCCACTGTATTTAACTTCAAGCCCTAGTAAACATCTTTGCTTATGTTGTTATAAGATTCCTTATTTGAGTATTTCGATTTAATTTCACAGTTCATATACCTCAAAGTTTTGATTTCCCACCCTCCCCTTCCTAATCATTTCAAGAGTCTGGCTGTGGCCAGGGGCTGCACATCTCCTCTCCTCTGTCCTGGGTTGGGTCTTCCCCCCTCTTGGCTGCTGAAAAAAAAGGAAGGAAGGAATTATGAGCCTTCTGAGGGTGGGTGAGTGAAGGCAGGTCTGTTAGGTCTAGTTTTGCATTTATTGCTTTGCAGGAGTAGGCTGCCAGTTATGGTCCAGAAAATGAGGATGGGGGCTCTAAAACCATTAAAAACAGATGGAGGTTGGCTCATACCTTTGCAGGTGGTCATTTCCTTGTCTATCTTCCAGGTTGTTCCATGGAAATCCAATCTTCCTTCCTTTCTCCTTTCTTCCTTCTTTCCTTCCTTCCCAAAGGTGCTTTTCAAGAGGCAACTGGACTTTCTCTTGTTTTCCTTGAAGATGTTTCACTTCTCATCCAAGGAGCTTCTTCAGCTCTGACTGACTGTTGAAGGATGGAAGGATTTATATTCCTTGTAGACAGCTGGTCATTTGCATCCTTTGAGAGAGTCCTTGAGGCAAAAGTTCAGTTGTCTTCTGGGATAACTATGACCTGGATGATGGGAGAATCTCCATAGACTTCCTTCCTTCCTTCCTTCCTTCCTTCCTTCCTTCCTTCCTTCCTTCCTTCCTTCCTTCCTTCCTTCCTTCCTTCCTTCTTCACTCCTTGCTTCCTCCCTCCATTCCTCCCTCCATCCCTTGCTTCCTCCCTCCCTCCATTCTCCTTCCTTAATTCATTCCTTCTTTGAAACAGGATTCAAAAGCTGAACTTTGGTGGTTTCCACCACAGGGGTCAGCAGGGGTCAGGTTGCCCCCCCCTATAAAGGATTCACTTGCTTCCTGCGACCTGGTCAGAAAGGTTTCTTATTGCATTGCACAAGAATGGTGTAATGTGAAAAAGAACTAGACCCAACTTGTTAGTTTTTCTCCTCCCTCCTCTTCCCCTTTTCCTTTTCAGCTGCTTCTTTTTTTGTCCCTACTTGTAGCCTTTAAGCTCATTTGTCTTTATTGATCTTAAGGCATCATGCTGGGAATCGTTTTGATTGAAGAAAAGGGTCCAAGGGATTTAAATAAAGGATGAGAGCGTTTCATGCTCGCTCTCTCTTGGTGGCTGCATCCATGGATCTTCCGTGACTTGCCTGGGTCCTTTGTCTTTCCTTCCGAAGCCTCCTAAACGTTTCCAAACAGCCCGGCCACTCAGAGGCAGAACCAAAACAAAGCAGGGACTTAGCCACGCTATTAAAAAATAAATAACTGAATATAAATAAACACAGAAACTGCTGAGTCACCTTCACTTTTTCCCACGTTAGGTTTGCGGTAGCACATTGTGGTTTATTTCTTCCCTCCTGTTCACAAACAAAGGGGAAGATACGGGTTTTTAAAGAAAACAATGGAAGGAAGGAATGGAAGGAAGGAAGGAAGGAAGGAAGGAAGGAAGGAAGGAAGGAAGGAAGGAAGGAAGGAAGGAAGGTGTCTGGGACAGAAAAGGTGGAAGCTTTATCTGTTTCCTATATGCACAGATCAATTACAGAGACAGTGATTCACAATGTCAATTTCACGCTCACCCAAGCCATTTAAAAAAGCACCTCATCTTTTTTTCTTTTGTTTCTTTTACACTTGATAAGAAGCCAGCTGTTCCTACTTGCAAAAGAAAAAGAAAAGAAAAGGAAGGAAGGAAGGAAGGAAGAAGGGAGCCATTTTTTATTGATCTTTAAAGGGCCGACCATGAGTTCTTTCTTTTACAACCCATTCCACCTTCCAGAGTGGCTTTAAAATACATATATCTCATATTTACCTCCTGCCATTTCCTTGAAAATAAAAAGAAAGTCCTTGACTTATGACCACGACTGAGCCCAAAATTCCTGTCGGTGGTTGTTAAGTGAGTTGTGCCCCATTTAATGACTCTTCTTGCCACAGTGGTTAAGTGGATTGCTGAGGCTGTTCAGTTAATCACACCGTTGTTAAGTGAGTCTGGCTTCCCCATTGACTTTGCTTGTCAAAAGGTTGCAAAGGGGGATCAGGTGACCTTGGGGCCCTGCAACCATCGTAAGTACGAGTCAGTTGCCAAGCGTCTGAATTTGGATCACGTGACCATGTGCAACAGTCATAAGTGTGAAAAACGGTCACGAGTCTCTTTTTTCAGTGCTAGTGTAACTTCAAATGGACATTAAATGAACTGTTGTTAGTCGAGGACTATCTGAACTGAGTTTGGAGAGCGGGCTGCCAATCAGCCCCAATCCTCTATTTGCAAGCACCTCTATTCCGACTTCCAAGTTCAGTCCAGATGATCTCTAGGAACCTCTCCTTTTCCCCCCACCTGCGATCAAAGCCGGTGCCATCTTTCTATTCTGCACTTCCTGGATTAATTCTAGAATTTTTTTTCTGGGTGAAACCGGGGAGCCTAAAAGAAACAGGACAAGGGAGGGGCTTTGGGTTGTAACCACAAACTCTTTAAAAGGAGGGAAAGGGGTGGGGGGACGGTGAGGGGGGGGTTTCCTTAATTTATTTCCAAAGCTTGCAGGAACAAGCTCAAAATCAACACTCTTGCCGAAGGGAAGGTGCGGAAGTAAAAGGTGCCTTTGCTCCAGGTTTCCTTGGGAGCGGCCCTCCACTTTCCGGGAGCTCAAGAGGGATCATCAGAACATTTCACAAGACCAAATTAACCCCAGTGGACAACCCAACACTTGTTTACAAAGCCAGGATGGAAATTTATGGTGTCACTAAAAAGAACTTCTCCCCTGGTGTGCAGGAGAGAGGAAAGGCATAACAATACCTCCCGTGGCAAGGAAGTGGGAAAGCTCTTAACAAATCAATACTGTTATTTAGTCAATAAACCCACAAAACAGCCCCTCCAGGGGATAAACACAGAGAAAATTCACTGCTGGCAAACAGACCGACGTGGTTCCAGCCTTGCGGAGGTGTCTGAGTGCAACACGTGGACTTTCAGGGGAGTGTGCAAACGAGGTGGCCAAGAGATGCAATGGAGATTCTGCCGCCACCACAAAGGGCCATCACAAAGAACAGGGGGAAAGGTCCACCTGTTCTCCAAAGCACCAGAGGGCAGGAGAAGAAGCAACAGATGGAAACTCATCAAGGAGAGAAGCAACCTGGAACTAAGGAGAAACTTCCTGACAGTGAGAACAATTAACCAGTGGAACAGCCTGCCTCCAGAAGTCGTGGCTACTCCATCACTGGAGGTTTTTTAAGAAGAGACTGGACAATCACTTGTCTGGAATGGTACTATAGGGTCTCCTGCCTGAGCAAGGGGTTGGACTAGAAGACCTCCAAGGCCCCTTCTGTTATTCTCTTATTCTCACCATCAAGAAAGGAGCCCAGAAAATCTGGATGCAACCAAGGTGTAGAGTTCGAATCCCTTGTTGCAGGGAATGGGTCTCTGATGTCTTTCTGAAGATGGAGCATCTGGGTTTGGTATTGTGAGAAGAAGACAAGGATGGTTGGCCGTGGTAGACTCTTCAGGAACTGCTGAAAGAGCTAAGAAAAGGACAAATTGCATCAAACTCCAGCTGAACTCCTGTGACCTGTGAACCAAGCCTAGCTCCTAAAACACAACCAGCAATCCATATGTGGGTTCACAATGGGGAGGAGGGTAGGTTTTCCAGCCTGGGCTCCTTGACGGGAGATCTTCAGGCTGAATGGGGACAGTTCGCCAGGGCCAAATCTCCACCGCCAACTCGCCAGGGACAACTTGCCTAGGGATAATTTGCTGCGAGAGTATTCAAGAATTCAATTTACTTATTTAAAATCATTTTAAAAATTATTTTAATGGTTGTCATTCACATTTTATTTTGTCCCTCCTCCTTTAGCATTCTTTCTTTAAGGATTCTATTGGGCTATTTCTCTCTATTAGTGCAATTCCTGTCCTGTCCTGTGGCGGGTTGTCATAGACCCATCTTCAGCCATCTCCAGCAGAGGCAGAATGGAGGACCAGCATGATTCTGGGGTTGAAAAGCTATCTGTCCATGGCTTTCTCCATCCCCTTCCCCTCCCTCCCTCCCTCCCTCTCCCCACCCCACCAGCTCATTCAAATGTATATCCCTAATTCAAGGCTTATGACTCTTTCCCAGGATAAATGTGCTGCTTCCTTAAGATTACGCTGAGAGAGAAATGCACAAACCCACCACTGAATGAAGACGGCCTTAATCTGCTGGGAGGGGGCAGATTCAAAGTCAGTCCTTTTTTAATCTTTCTCGCTGCTGAACCGTTGAGGCTGCATCCAACTTCGGCGGGCTGGGCTAGGACAGGAGGCTAAGCCTTTCTTGGGAAAGTTAATAGGCGGGGGGGGGGGAGTTACACCAGCAGGGTGTTCTCCCCTAACTCTTCCATCCAACTATATTGTGTATTTTGTCCCCCCCTCCATTTTCCTGACTGGGAAAATGACAAGGGGGAGTGGAACACAGAAGATGCTGTTGGCAGAGTAGGAGTGAAGGTGTCTCTCTCTCTCTCTGCTCTGTGATCATCTACAATCATCTTGATCAACCTCTCTGAGATACCTATCTTATTCACCATTCTTTCTCTATTAGATTTGTGTGTGTGTATATGCGTGTGTATTATTGATATCAATGATCATGTCCAATTCATGACATTTCTCTCTCTCTCTCTCTCTCCATCTATTGCTTTCTCTCTTTCTCTATCTCTATCTCTCTATCTGTCTATATCTATCTATCCTCCCTGTCTCTGTTTTCTACATCTATCTATCTGTCTGTCTGTCTGTCTGTCTGTCTGTCCGTCCGTCCGTCCGTCCATCCATCCATCCATCCATCCATCCATCCATCCATCTATCTATCTATCTATCTATCTATCTATCTATCTATATCTACTATTGATATCTCCAATTCTTGACATCTGGACACCCAGCAGCCATTAAAGACTATCCAAAAATATAGAAACGTGTACAAAGCAGCACAAATGCCATCAGCAACCAAAGTGAAAAGAACCGACACCAACAACTTAACCCAGTGTTTCTCAGCCTTAACAACTTCAACATATGTGGACATGGCTGACGGGAGAATTCTGAGAGTTAAATCCACCCCTTTTCAAGTAGCCAAGGTTGAGAAACATTGACTTAACCCAAACACTGCTTGGGCTCTGTCACCTATCTGGAGCCTCCTGTAACAAGACGGGGTCTTGTGAAAAGCCAGCAGGCTTGGGCCCAGCTAGGGAGTTCCTAAGGGCAAAAGCCATAGCAGAAAAGGTCCTCTTTCGGGTCCCCACGAGATGACATTCCCTAACAGACAGGACCCAAAGCAAGCCTCTTCTCCCTTTTCGCAAGCCTTAAAAATCAACAAAACAAAGAACTCTGGTAAAGTGCCAGTTTTGAAGGGTTGCCAAGCGCCAGTTCATGTATCAGGTCCAGTGTGCAAAATATAGCGAGTTTCCACCCTGACATGGGAGTCAAGCAAAGCTGTCTCTTGGCCGTCACAGAACAATTAACTAAACATCATCTAATCAATTGGCTGAGATTTCTTTGACCAGATGTGATCCACATTACAGAATTCAATAGGATTTACTCCCCTCCCCCCTTATTATCGATTTGGGATAGCAGCCTGCAGTTATTTCTTGCACCGCTATAGTTCCTTTTCCCCTTATTCTCAAAACTAAGCAAGAGAAAGACCTGCAGGCAAATTCCAGTTTTGCTAGAAACTTAACTGGTTTGAGACCCGTAATTATTATTATTTTTAAAAGAAAAGTTAGTTTTGCTGCACAAAGTCAATTTATATAACCCCAGTCCATTTTGGATCGTGCAGTCAGCAAAAAAACATGTCCAACTTTTCATTTTTACTGAATATTATAATCATTGGAGGAAAACTTTCTGGCATTGACTCAAATGACTCCTGTTTTTACCCTGCAAATCCCTTTATGGAACATTCTTAGCCTATCGGAAGCAAGCTAAAAACTTTGGGGTTGCTGATTTAAGTAAACTTGGTTAACTTCTGCTCGGGTTAAAACCCAGTTTGGCCTTAGTTTTGTAACTTACGGAGTCTTTACTCTTTCTGGTGACAGATGGGGTATGTTTGAAATTGCGTGGTTTGTTGCAGACAGAATATGGATGTTTTAAATGCATAGGAAAGGGGCAGGGATGAAAAGGCAGGGCTAATTTAATAAATAAGTTTGGTAAATAAATAAGTTAAACTTGCCCTTTATGTTATGTTTGCCAAATGCAAAGGAGGCCAAGGCGTTCACCTTCCATCGTTTGAAATACTAATTTCATGGCAAAGCTTGTTATCTACTAGCACCACAGGGAGTCTTCAACGTATGACTACAACTGAGTCCAGAATTTTGGTCATAAGCCATTGTGGTCATACGTTGAGTCACCATGTGATCAAACTCCATTTTACAAGAGTTTTTACGATGATTGTTAAATGAGTCATCATGTGGTCATTAAGCACCATTTTTCCTGAGGCCCTCCTAACTTCAAACTGGTCATTAAGTGACCAGTTGTAACTCAAGGTCTACCTGTAGTACTCCTAGCAGGAGTAGCACAGTTGAGGATCAACTACTGTATGTGTCACTCTTCAGCCATTCTTTCTTGATGGACTGGTCACTTGAGGCTGAAGGAAGCCTATCCTGTCCTTGGTTTTACTGGATTAAAACTTATATCCCGCCATCCTAGTGTCCACACACTTCAGTGGGCAGTTCCTCTGTCACTCCATTGTGGTCCTGTCACTGATGGAAGGGTGAAATAAAAGAGCATGAAACGCAACCTCACAGGTTTATAAACCATTTGGCTTTGGATTAAGAGGTGGTTATTCATCCAAAGGAGCAGGAAAGAGCCCCACTCTGCATTTTCTGGGTCCTGGGAACGATGGTTCCCACAAAGCTTTACCTTTACCTTGGCACTGAAGATGAGCCTCAGTTGACAGGCTGGCAGGCCAACCACATATACCATCCCATTTTCTAGATCAGGGGCTCTCCAAGCGTGATCACTTTAAGCCTGAGCTTAAATTCCTGAGCCGCCCACAAGTTTTGAAGTCCACAGTTCTTCAAGTTGCCAAGTTTGGAGACCCCTGATCTAAATGGCGTGGTGGTTACGGTGATCAGGAATCTCTTCCTGCCCCAGATCTAACCCTGACCGTGACCCATCCAAACCCCATCAGATGCCAAACTGAAAAATCAGTTCCTTCCCCAGGTCCCCGACAGGAGCTTGGCCTCCTGAGAATGCACCAAACCCTTGCCAGGGCATGGGAGGCATCTGCCCTCCCAAGGCAGATGTCAACCCTACTCACATGCCAAGGAGTTTGGCACATCCAGCCCAAGGTGCTGGCCAGCCCGCCTGCCTGCTGAACACCTGTTCTGAAAACCACAAGCAGCTTGACCCCTTCCGTTTGCCAAGCTCACCCAGCATGTTGCCCTAAGCCAACCTGGAGGCATTGTCATTATTATTATGGTCTGACACACAATCAGCCAGTTGTTCAGACTAGATTTGGCATTCCCCCTCCCCCACCTATTGAGTCCTTCCCAAGGACCTGGGTTTGGCAGATGTGGATGTTTGATGGTGTTACAGACATCGTTGCAGGAAGTAAGGTCTTCCGAGCAAAGCTGCCTTTTGCAATTGACTGATGGTGAATTTGTCAATGCCATTCAAGTGGTGCTCAGGTTGTTTTGGAATGGCACCCGAGACTATTGATACCACTTTTGCCTTCTTTTATGACAGTCATTCTATTTCTATTTGCAGGTCTTCGTATTTTGTTAACTACTGTAGTTCCTTCTCTTCCCTTCTGCTGCTGTTGTTATTATTATTATTATTTTATTCAATTTGGCTCATGACCATGAGCCAAGATTGGGAGCTGCCCAGAGTTGGTGATAAGAAGGGCAGCACTATAAATGTTCTAAAAAATAAATAGATGGCCTCTCCCCCCTGTTTTTTTCCCATCTAAAGACTCGTCTTCTTGCCCATCTCTGCTGCTGCTCACCAAACATTTGTTTTCGGTCCATCCCCTCCTTTCACAGTTTGCTGGGGGCCGCAGCAAGACCACCGTATCCCCTTGGCCCCCATCTCCTCCATCACCACCACCTTCTACGGACAGCCTTGGTGCCAAACGGGCCGGGCTCTTTAAGGCAGCCAGTGCCATCTCCTCTCCTCCCCGGGTGCGACCCATCCACATGCCGTATTAGAATTGTAGAAGTAATAAATGAACAGTGGAGGGGGGGTTTGTAATGATGATTAGAGACTGAAATTGGCTCAGATTTACTGTGTCACTCAGGAACGGAGGGCGACGGGTGGGGGGAGCGCAAGAAGCATTTGGAGCAGTCTAATGGATCCATCAACTCGTTTTGGCTGCTCAGTGGGCCGAAGAGGGTCACCAGGCTTTCCGCTGGCAGCACAAAGCACTTCAATTTTGTTAGGAAATGTATCAATTTAACTGACTTGAGCAGCACACTGCAAAACCTAATGAATCTGGACTCAATTTTCCGGCACACTGCTCCTGAGAACTGTCGGAAACAATGTCGGCGGTTGGGGGTGAAGCCGGCGCCGATAGGCTGCCTGGCCTGGCCTGCCTGCGCCGGGGTTAGCCGAGATGCGAAGCAGGCGCAGCCTCCCGCCATCCGGTGACAGCTCTGGACCCGGTGCTTGCCACTCTCCTAACAATGATGTCATTAAAGGTAAATTGGCCTCTATTTCAGCAGGATGATAGTGCTAATTGAGTGGGAAAATATAATATAGGGAGCTGTTGTCTGCAGTTAAAGGGAGGAGCGGGAGAGATTAAGTGGCCTACAATAGGGGGTGTCAGGCACGGCAGATGTTGCGTTCGGCTGATAACTGCACTGACGGATCTCCGGCTTGTCAAGGCTGGGCCGTTTGCAGAGAGACTTACAGCAAAAAAAGGCGGCAGATGGCCGCTCAGAATGGGAATGAGGTGCTTAACCAGCCTGACTGCTTTGGAGGCAGCTAGTTGGTAAACAGAGGGAGCCTCAGGCTGAGGCCGGTTGGCCCTCCCTGCCTGGAGCCTGGCTGCAAGGAAGGAGAAGGCGAAGAAGAAGGGTGACTTTGGCTCAAAGGTCAGGAGGCCTCCAAGGAGGGAATGGATGTCCAGGCTCAGGGCAGAGGGTCAAAGCCACTGCCCTGCAGAGTGTCCAGATTGAAGAAGGGTCCAATCAGAGGCCTCCTTCTTGT